GACTCAAAATACTAGGAAGATGTGGTCATTTTAGGTAAAGTAACATTAGAGATGTTGCTGTGTGGCTATGTCTGACAGGTCCAACTGCCTTTTCCTCACAGTGTGAAATGAGGATGATTTTTCCATTTCTGGAAATTTTCCTTTTCCATGTTTTTTTTCCTTTCTGCGAATTTCTAAGTTTCTTTTCTCTCTTCAATATAATTCCTCTTGCAAGATTTCCGTATGAAAACACAGGATCTTTTTTTTTCCTTTTTTTTCCTGCAAAAACTAAAGTACAGCTTTTTGTGATTGTGAACAAGGAGACTAGTTTACTGCACTGGTTGTCAGTCTCAACAATTGCTAATTAATACTGCTGAAATACATGGCTATCTTTTACTCATAATTACCAAAACTATGCAAATTATCAAGGTTGCTTTTTTCTGTGTCAGAAAACATTCTGAAAGAAAATCTTTTCCACAGGAGAAGAGAATGACAGGTAAAATAAATGAAGTGTGTCTGCTTAGGAACGAGTGTTTTATGCATAATTATTTCATGCCTTGCAAATTAACTACATTATATGTGCCTGGGAATTACAGAAAACTGAAATAATGTACCTAGGGCATATTGGAATTTACTATGCAATTATATTTCTTGTTGTGTTTTGTATTTTTTAAAGAGCTTGCAACATAAGAATACAGAAAAGAGATGTCAATACTGGTATTCTTTGTTACTGTTTTGGCATATGTGTATTTCCCAGGAGTCAAATGCATATTCTGTTTATTTACCCTTTCTCTAGCATCTCTGTATCATGCAAAATATAGGGATGCAAACTATGGGTAGGGTAATGATTCAGGAATGTAGGTTAAAATCTGCAGGAAGAGGCCAGAAAGGTCTGTGTGGCTTCTAACAAAGTGAAATGGAAAAAAGGAAAGAGTTTCCAAAGAAAGTTCTGAAAGAGCAGGCAGAGGTAGGGGAGGGGGTAGGAAACCATGCAAGTAAAGTGAGGACAGAGCTTGTAGAGTCTGTAAGGGTAAAACTTTCTTTTCTGTGCCCAGCACAGAAAATGCTGTGTGCTGTCTAGTTGCTGTTGTAACACAACTAATAAACAGTTTGTGGTGAGCTAGAAATATCGGCATTGCCACTTGAAATAGCAAGTCAAAGAGTAAAATACTATGTAAAAAGATGTACTGCGTTATTTTTTAATAATTTCTGCTTAAGGGAAAGCAAAAACCACCCCTTTCATATTATGAGATGCTGAACAATGAATAGACATTTCAGTATATAGGAAATCTAGTCTGTTTACTAGTGTGTACCAAACTCCAAATTCATGCAGAATGTCCCCATGAGTGTTCTACTTTTTGTTTTCATCTGCTAATTAAATAAAAGAGACCATTTTGTATTTTACTTTACAGAACTTTATTTGAACTACTATGGTGGAGCCTCAAGTTGGCTTGAACTTTGTAGTGAAATTGTCCTCTTTTGGGGCAATTCTCTATTCAAATAAGAGCAATTAAAAAGCTTACAGAAAGCTTTGGAAACTCATGTGCTTTAAAAAGAGAAAAATAACCTGGATGAGGTAGGTCATTAAATAAGTAGAAATAAGATATACTGAAAGAGTTTGAGTAGACCATTGTAAATGAATCCCCTTCTCGCCCAGTAGCTCCTTGCAGAACATGTCTTCTTAAAATTTTTCTACCCAGTTGGTAGCTTTCAGTAGCTTCTGTTTGGCCTCCATGGGCTTCTTTGCTTCATCAGCCAGACCTGGCAAGACTTTACTCTATGCTGTGCTCAAGACTCTTCTCCACTCAGTCACAATGCCTGGATATCGGGAGCTGGATAGAAATCCTGACTTCTCCAGTGTCGCTGATGTTTCCTTTGTTGTCTAAGGCAGCCAGTCATCCTCTCCCAGAGGGCTCTCTCTGCCCCAGGGTGCAGGAACCAGGACTAGACAGACAGCCACCCTTTCTGTCATCCAGCTTTGTCCTTTTAGCAAAATATATCTAACACAGAAAGCGGAAACAAACCAGTTCTGGCATCCATCACAGCTATCGCTCTCATGAAGAGGAACCGGTGTCTTTCTAAACAGATACTAACAGATACAGAAATGCAGCTTGAAAATAAGATTCTAAGAAGTCTCTAAGTGCTGGCCTTGTCTAAGCAATAGCAGTAAAATTTGGTTTGCTCTCACATCTGCGTAGACAGGAAAACCTACAGATGGGCAGATTTGAAAGTGATGGCACAGATAATTCATTGTCTTCAGACTTAGCACTTGAAAAAATGCTTCTGACAAATGGCTTTGGTGCAAAGGAGTATTATGTTGGTGCTATTTGCAGCATTTATTGCAAAGGTTCTGTGTTGGTATTTCCATTACAAAACAACCCTTATGTTCTTTCAGTAAAAATTCACTCCAGACTGAAACATGGAACATCTGATCTCATCTCTTGACCAGTGGCTGTTTTTACCAGTTTTACAGAAAAATTGACTCAGCTGAGGTTTTTTATATTGTACAAAGGTTAAAAAGGTTTGGAGGGGAGGAATTGAGGGAGGGGAGCAGTAGGAATGTAGTTGATGGAAACAGTTTGTATTTCAATTGTAGGATTGAAATGGTGTGCTATTGGCATCGTCTGTATGCCAGTTGTGCTCTAGTGCAATTCATTGCTGCTCTTCTGAGTGCATGAAATTCTACTTGCTGCCCCATCTGTAGGAAAGTATTTCAACAGATAGATAAATCTTTGTCACAAGGCAGAAACAATTGAAAATTGTAACAAAGTAAAATACTATGTAAGATGATGCACTGCATTATTTTTTAAGTAGTTTCTGATTAAGGAGAAGCAAAAATCACTACTTTCAAATTCTGTAGTGCTGAGAGGTTTTGTGTTGTTTTGGGGGTTTGGTGTTGGTTTTGTTGTTGTTTTATTGTTTGTTCGTTTGTTTTGTTTGTTTGGGTTTTTTCTATTTTCTATGCTGTTGCCAAATTTTACAAATGGGTGTGGTGGTAACCAAACCATTTGAAAGCACTGAGTCACTTTGAAAATAATTTTTTTTTGAAAGGTCAGTAATGTGAAATAAACTACCATTCTTAGGTCTGCTCAGTTTGCATCTGACTAGAACTGAAAAACTGAGAAAGGAATTCTTAGTCCCCCTTTACTTCCTCAAAGATAGCAACAGCTTCACTGTTGTGAGTTTTGGCTGGTAAAGCCCCAGTCATCAGCTTTGCCTGCTACTTGGGGTGGTAAATGCTTGCTTTATGTACTTTTTGTTTTCCTGAGCTTGTTTTTCTTGGTTGTTATGTCAGCATATTGGTATACACACAGCTTTCCATTTTGCGGCTTCTGTTTTGCTTGCTTGTTTGCTTTAATGTCGCTCCTACTTTCACCATTATATGCATTTTATATTTTATACTACGTAGTTACTTTTTTTTTCCTGTTGTGACCAGCCAGCCAGTGTCTCAGTTACGCTTGGAATGTGTCCATTTCACAATCTCAGTCACTTTGATGTGCCTTGAAGTAGTTCATGGCATGACTGTATGTTAGGTCTGCTTAAGCTGTCACCTTTCAGTCGTCAGAGCCTGCAGAGAGGAAGCTGAGCTTTGGCTGGCCTGCCCTGAAATAATCAGTAAACTCAGCAGAAAATTTCTGGTGGAAAAAAAGAAAAAAAAATTAGTGGGAGCCTTCGAAGAAAACAAATTCAAGTGACATTTTTGCTGAATCTTCACTATAGCTGCTTATTTCGGTATAACTCTTCCTGGATTGACTTGAACAGCAATGGGGCAGAAATGTCTAGGTTTAGTAGCAAAAGAGCCACAGTAAAACTTTGTTGTTGTTGTTATTTATTATTGGAAGACATATAGATAGACAAAACTAAGAGCCTTTGGGGACTTTAGAAAGAGGTGAGTGAGAACAGCATTAGGGACTTGAACATCTTGGTTCACTCATAATGCAAGCAGAACTCCCCTGACAAATACCATAGTCCAAATTTACTCTTGATTTTCAGAAGCTTACTACAAAAGCGGAGTCACTGAAGTTTCAAAGACTGTCAGGTCAGAGATTTGAATCTGGAGGTATACAGCTAAACTCTCTGAGTTACAGAGGCATTTTAATTGTTTGCTTAGGAGAAAAACAGTGTTTACTTACTTATGATATTAGTATTTCTATGCTGTGGAAAGTCTTGGTTAATATATGCTTAATATGATTAAAATATGTTTCAGATTCCTGAAACAGCTTTACCGCAGAGAAATAGAATGTTTGGGAATGTTTTGGCTGGTTTTCAGTAGAATTTGGGGGTTAATATAAATAGAGGTTTTAAAATGTTTTCAATTTTAAAGCATTAACTAATGTGACATTTTGAATGTGAGTGAACCTACATGTTCCTTTTCCCTCATTGGTTTCACACCAATGAAATTTTATAGAAAGGATTTTATGATAGAAGATCATATTTCTAGTCATAATCAAAAAAGCAAGGCCACTTATACTTAATTACTTCAAATCGTTAAATGTACTATATATATGTGTAGAAGTGGAATTTTCAACCTATTCATAGTAAGAAATACTCTGTTACAGAATTCAGGGAATTTGATGTTCCAGTTCAACATGAGCAGTAGTGGACATGAGAAAAATCTGTAGGCAAACTATGCAATGGTAGACACAGGATTCTCAACATTTGCCAATACATGACAAAGAAGCTGGGTGTAGGAAGGATTTATTTTAGGCACTGAACAAAGCTGTGAGGGAACAGATATCATAGTCAGTGTTGGGTTTTTTAGAAGGTCAAAGGTAAATCAAGTCACTTAGTTTATAGGTTTATATATGTTACAAGCCACTCAGTACACCGCTCAAAAACTTGCTAAACTCTCAGACTTTATTCCACAGAGAAAACAAACTACTGTGAATAGACAACTGTCTCCATATCCCCCTATCCTAGGGCCTGATTTCACCAGTATACTTCATCGAGCCCCTTGTCCAACATGCAGGGCTTTTTAAATGTTCTGTGTCCTACTTTAACATGGATTTTTTCTCTTTCAGCTCTGAGGGACAACAGAATTGAGCTGGTCCGAGCTTCGTGGCATGAGCTGAGCATCAGTGTCAGCGACGTGTCCCTGTCAGATGAAGGGCAGTACACCTGCTCTTTGTTCACTATGCCTGTCAAAACTTCCAAGGCTTTTCTTACCGTTCTCGGTGAGTATAAAGAAGCAAGTGTTAAACTCCTCAGGCTTTGGCAAATTATGATGAGGATGAACTTCTCTAAAGCTTGGCGGAAGATAAATGTAAATGTCTGATCTGGTTTCCCTGATGTTTATTGTTTTATATTGCTGTGCTGAAAAATAACATGCCTCTTGCTGTTTGCCCTGGCGGCAGGATAATGAATTAGGGAGCACACAAACACTAAGGTGTGAGTGCTCCATAAAATGGACATCATAACCTCCACATCCTGAGCACCAGAAGTGCAAAGAAGGTGCATGTGTTCATCTCCTAACAATGTATTGTACAGGGCAAAGAGGAGAAAATCAGAAAGCATGAAATCAAAACGGGCTTTAGAGCTTTATCATTTCTCCTTAGCTGTGCATTTTCTTGGCTCATTCTGCTGTCTTTTTTTTTTTTTTTTGGTCTATAAAGTGCAAATTTTCACTGGGTTTGCCGCTTCTTTTGTGCTTTATCCTCTTAAGTGCTCTGCTGTTTTCCCCAAAGGTTATAGATACACATAGAAAAGCAATAGATTTCGAGAGATGCCCAGGAAATAAAGGTTCTGCTCCAAGCTTTATATGAGTCTATGAATGTCAGTAGCCCAATCAGCCAAAATTGCTGTAGTTCATTGCAACACACCTGCGTACCTAAGAGGTTATATGATTTTAGAGATTGATTTTTATTCTTTTCTCCCTTTTTTTTTTTCTGTCCCTGAACATGACTCTTTCTTTCTTTTTGTTTTATTTTTATACAGAGATAGGCAGACAGCTGAATTTAATAGGACTAATGTAAGGTGTTCTCTGTGCCAGTAATATTCACATTAATCCAGCCAGGGAATTGGTTTTGTGCTTAGGATATGAAATAGGTCTCCCTTTCAGTCCCTATGAGACTATTTTACAAGAATCTTCACAAGTTTGCCATTAAGGACGAAAAGTACCCACTCAAAGCAGAATATTCTGGAATAGCAACTGCCTGTGCTTAATCTTCCTTTCTGTAGAGAGGCATTTCATGATCTAAACAACTGATGAATACACCAGCTCAACATGTTAAATGGCAGAAAGACATAGAAAGGTGTTACAAAGACAAAAAAAAGCCCATCTACCCAGTGTTTATTAACAAAAGTAACTTGATCTTTCACAATCCTGTCAGTTTTATCTTCATTTTAGGGGAGGGTTTCATGGAGTTTTACTACATCAGCTACTCACCTTCCAGGAAAGAAAGCTGCAGCATTTAAGATTCCTGTCTTTTTCATTTTGTATTTGTAATTGTCAAAATAACATTCTAAACTCTTTGGAAATTTTCTGTTGTAGAAGGGGAACTTTTTCACTGAAATGTGTTACATCTTTTAATCAGATAAACTATCCTTTTATGTACTAATAATGTCTTTATTGACTGCTCTGTTATTGATTAGAAGATATAAGTGCCAAGGTATTATAGCAGACACCATTTCCTGTCCTGAAAGAGAGGAATAGATTTATTACAGAAATGTGCTATGCAAGAGGTACTGCTGCTTTCTTTTTATATACATAATCTGTCATCTTGGTAAAGAGATGTAGAAAACCCAAATTATGAAATACAGGGCATAGGACCAATTACTGTGACTGATCCCTTTATGCAGCCACAAATATGAATGCCTCATAGCACTGTAGATGCAAGTCACAACCGACATTTTTTGAGATTTTAAAATTGCAGTCATGGGTATTATTTTGAAATAACTTATTTTGTGTTTTCATAAGTTAATTGGATTTATACAGGTAGTGATCAAAACTTTCCCAATTCTCTTCATATTTTTTTTTTAAAAATCATTCGTGGTTCATTGAAAAAACACAAATCATATAACCTCTTCCAAAGGACTTGGATTCATCTGAAAAACTCTCCATAGCCAAAGGAGCTCTGATTGTACCTCTTGATGTTTTGGGTTTGTGTTCTCTGAAGATAAAGTGACACCTGAATTTATTTTTATCCTCCCTTCTCCCTGGATTTTGTATTAAAGTCTTCATTATTCAGGTTTAAACATCTGTTCTGAACTTAGGTCAGCTCAGCTTTTTGTTGCCAGTTATGTTTCATTCTCACAGCTGTGCTTCTAATGTGCTTTGTCATCCTGCTTGCTGTGCAGAGTGGTTTAAACATTTTAACAAGTCAGACTAGACCTGCATGCAGAATATACATAGATGAGGTATTTATTAAAATGTAATCTGTTTCTCTTAGAAAACCAGGTTAATTTCTGTTTTCTTTCTTTATTTAGAATCGACTACTGATCAGATTGATAGTTGATTTACAATAGGAAAAAGGCTTCACTGACAAGGCATGAGGAATTAATGATCCCGTTTCCAGGGTTTAGAGCATGTGAAGAAGTGAACTTTAGGCTGGTCATGTACTCAGGACAGTAGCTGACTCTATCAGAGACATTTTGCTTGTTTGCTTGTTAGGTGTTCCTGAGAAGCCACAAATTACTGGATTTACCTCACCAGTTATGGAGGGAGAGAGGATGCAGCTCACTTGCAAGACATCTGGTAGTAAACCAGCAGCTGATATCAGATGGTTCAAGAACGACAAAGAAGTTAAAGGTATTTAAAAGCACTTTGGTGTAATTTGGTCCAACTGCCAAAACTATGTATCCTTTAGAATAACGTTTTTTAATTTTTGTTTGTAAAATTTCTCATAATTGAGTCATGAAATGAATAGGGGATAGTACAAAGACAAGGTAATTGCTTGTAAATGGTCATATAACCCTCTTTTTATTGTTTCTTCAAATGGTAAAAACTGATGTTTTGAATTGCTCAGAACTCTGTTCAGCATAACAAACTCGAATGTGAGGCTCAATGGAAAAATGTTTTGTGGATTATTGTTATCACAGTCATACCACCCATCCTTGATGCTTTACCTTTCCATTTCTTTTTGCCATTCTAATGTGAAGTGTATCTGATGCAGTCAGTTGCCAGATTGATGTTATTTGTTTATTGCACCCCTCAAAATAAAGTGGCCAGGTGAGGCAGGACCATCTGGGGGAGACAGGAGATGGCACTTGCCACAGCGGAGCCACGGAGCCTGCTCTGGAGAGGAAAAGTCCGGATGTAGCAATTGAGGGAGTCTCATCTGGGAAACTGGGAATTTACAGCCGAGGCGAGGATGGTGCTGGTTGTGGTGAGAAGGTGGACTTTAAAGGGGATCAGGAAAACTGCACAGGGGGAGTTGGACAAAGTCTGCTGTAACTGAAAAGTCAGTAGTGGCTAAAACCAAAGCTGACAGCAAGGATTTGCCTTTGAGGATGCAGCAAGCTAGGAAAGAGCTGCATATAAAATCTATTCATTTTTTTTTCTTGCTTCTCTTTCCCTTTGTACATTCTTTGCTTAGAACTTAGTTTTCTAGTCCACATTCTTATCAGTGCTGGGATAGTTTTAAATCCTTATTGGTGAATGTGTGAGTAAAGAGAGCTTCCTGCAGCAGAAGGCTTAGTCATATCCATAAGCCAATTGAGGTACCAATTATAATGTAGATTAATAAAAAGGATAAGGTACTGACATTTATTCATGACACCTCTATTCATTCTGCTGTAAGACCAGATCAATCGATGATTCAAAATCCACCTTTTCTCTGTAGCTTTAAAAAAAACCCCAAACCAACCAAACAAACACCACAAAACCCCCAAACCAACACTATTATCTGCTTTGCCTCATGTTTGTCTAATATTTTGGATTCTGTTAGCTCAATAAACTGCCTCAAGAAAAGTTACAGCATTAATTACAGAATCCATTTATCTTCCTTTACTGTTCTCTACCACAGTTCAATGTGCAAAACCAGAGCTGGGATATAAAATTGGTAAATAAAGGAGATTACAGTGGATTGTATAAGGAATCCAGTCCATTCGAGAAGTGCCTTTATATTTCCAACAAAAATGAGAATAGTGTTGAAAGAAACAAGAATTTTAGACTGGGATAATTTGAAATGTGTTTGAAAACTTGTAACAAGGATAGAAAATGAGGAAATGGAGAACAGTTCTTTTGTCAGTTTGAGGAAGTTGATGAAAGAAATGCAGCACCTAATCAAATGTAGTTAAAAAGAAGAATTTAACAGCACAGCAGATGCACGTGGCACAATATAGATTCATCCAGAAAAGATGGCAGGATGACTATATACATTCAAGGCATGTAGGGATTAGAAATGACTCCAAGCAATGTCAGTATTTTAAGAGAAACACTGATACAGTCAACCTTACAACAAGGCAACACATTTGAAAAGATGTTATTTCAAAAATTATAATTTAAGATCTGGTGTAATAATTTTGCTTTTCTTTCAGCTGACATGTAATTGAAGCCAGCAAGCAATTGACTCTTTAACTATGTTGCTCTTCTCAAGAGTTCCTAAAGAGAATTAAAAAAAAAAAAAAAAAAGAGTGGGGAAGGAACAAAAAAATGTATGAAAAAGTACAGTAAAGAGGGAAAAAAACCCCAAGAACCAGAAATCAGAGGAAAGTTCTGAGCAAATTCATTTCAGTTTAGTTTTCTAGGTCTTCTGAAGAGCACATTGCCATTTCACAAAGGTTAGAAATAAAATAACCTAACCGGTCTGCAGTGGCATCAGCAGAAGTTACATTAGCTTTGTGCAGTGTAAAAGGTGAAATGATAAATCTGAGAAAATAGATATGAAATTATATGCTAATGCAGCTGACATTAAAGGTTAGGAGTTCTTCTGTCTAGCACCAGTAAATCCAATTGTGTTACAGTGTATTATACGTGGTGCAAACGAATATAAATGATGCATCGAGATCAGAGTTGCACCAAAGGGGAAAAAGCCATTCTAAAATTGTAGCTCCACTGCTATTACTCAAAAAAGGAATCATCCTCTGGTAAAGGAATACTGCTTGATAAAGTAAGTGTTAGTGATGAGAGAGACTGAATGTGAAGCACTGGGTACCACACCTTTTCCTCTGGCGTTCTGTCACTCATATATGCACCAGCTTAACAAAGTGATCAGCAATGTTTGCTTCTGGAGCCATTTCTGGAAGATTATTAAAAGGAAAAATAGTGGAGAAGATAAATGCGTATTTTTCATTTTGGAATTGCCTATTTTTTCAAGACAACTTTTTAAATGCTGTTTCAACAATATTATATAAAGAATTATTTTCAGTTTTAAGGAATATTTTCCATAGATTTTTTTGTTTCCTGGCAAAGTTAGGCTCTAAAAATAAATAAGTTTATTTTGTTACAACAGATTAAGATATTTTGAATTAGTTTATGTATTTTTGGTATACACAAAGAATTCAGAGAGGCACTGAACATTTTGTCTTGATAAACCTCTGAATCAAAGATGAATTCTTTTTTACATAAAAGAGCCATTTCATGTCAGAACTTGAGTTTAAATATAAACAGAAATTACATCTGCCATGTAAAACCAGAAATACTGTCTTTTTAAAAGATGAATGTTTCTGTGTGAATGTTACAGGTTTGTGCTTTTATAAATAGCTTGTAATGAACAATGGATGATGTTACCTTAGATGGACATTTCATCATTTCCATTTATTATTTTCACTATCAAACATCTATACTTATGAGATATAAACCCAGTATTAGTTAATAAAAGCATATCTGTGTGTGCACCTATCTGACAGTCATAGAAGCAGGACCATAACTGGCTCTCAGATTTTTCATATGGCCCAGGCTCTGTTCAAAGGTTAGATCAGGTGGCTAAAGACCTTCTCCTGTTCAGTTTGGAAAAATCTCCCAGGACAGAGATTCCACAGCCTGTCTGGGCGAGATATTTCAGCATTTTAAAGCCCTGCTTGTGGAGCATTTTCACTGTATGTAGATATTTCATGATACATAATCAGAATTTGCCTCAGTGTAAATTGTTTGTTGTGCTGCAACTTTTGCTATGCACCTCTGAGAGGGCTCTGGCTTTTCCTTTTCTTCTTTTTACCGTGCTCTAGGTAGGTTTTTTGATCTGGTTTTAGTCTTCTCTTCTCTTTCTCAGGCTAGTAAATCTCAACTACCTTAAGCTGTCCTTGTAGATTGTATGCTCTCTCCACTGGCCACCTCCGTGGGTTTTGGCTGAACCTACTCAGGCTTGTTGACATGCTTTTTTGTACCAGAAGGCCCAAAGCTGTGCCTGCTCCTCTAGATCCAGTCACATAAGTCCTAAATAGAGACGAATCACTTCCTTTGGCTTTCTGGCTGTGCTATTAATAATGCAAGACAGCAAAGGCACACTGTTCTCTAATGTTCAACCTGTCCTCAAGACCCCTAGTTCCTCCTCTATAAACCTGTTCCACTATCTTTCTTCTGGAGAAAGTGCTCTTGTAATGGATTTTTTTTTTTCAAACCTTTTTTCAAGGGAATGTTAGGAGAGAGCAAGAAAATAAACAAAACCATGGATTACAATTGACATATTTAAAAATCCTGGTAAAACCCCTGGGTAAATATTCTGAATGGTAACATACCCAGGACCTGATCTCCAGTGCTCTTGCATCCAGGTGGGCTTACATCAGAGCAGCACATACCACCATCCCACCTGCATTTTATAATGAAGAAACACGTAAGAAAACAGAGCTGATGAGGAGGACAGGCTAATTATTTCTCTTGATGAGGATGTCAACAATTTATATATGAACTCTTCCAAACCATAAATGCCTAGAGAAAGACTCCTAAACATCCATTTAGGAAGTTAACTGCCCGTGTTTTTCTAAAGGATTAAGAATTCACAGCCTCTCACTAAAATTAAAGTTGCTGTTGTTTTCAGGGGCCTTCTGTCCTCCATCTGAAGACAGCAAGCAAAGGGATGTGTACATTGCATATAAGCAGAAGGCTATCTCTATACGTGCTTATTAAATTTGGAAACCTAACTCTGGGAAGAAAAGCTCATGTGTTTGCTTTAAATATTTGTTGTTTGATTATAAGAATTTTGCTTTAGCCCTGTCAATACTTTTCTCATCTACTGGTCCCTAAACATTAGTAGTGACCATGGCAAAAATTGAAATATTTTAAAGTTTAGCAACAAACAGGCAGAAAAATGAAAGAAATAATTATTTCTTAGGGAGAAATGGAAATTGTGTAAGTACAAGGTGTCTTCATCTGTCTGGAGACAATGAAAAAGACTGCCTGGTATTTTTAATCTGAAAAGGTGTAGCTAAAGCCATTGAAGATTTGCTTTCTAAAATTGATATTTCAGGGAAATTTTATTCAGGTCATCTTCTTCTCTAGTGGGATTTAGTACAATTTGTAAAACTGAAACTCTCACTTTTTTTTTCAGGACACAGAGGATATATGCAATCTCAGTGTAATTTTATATATATGTTTAAGTATTTATATATGTCTTTTCAACTTTCATTGCAACAAATCAATATAACAAGCTTACCATTTTTCTGAAATAAGCTAAGATCAGTAAGTATTCTAAGTAGCTGGAAACCAAGAAAAACAATTCTAAAGTATGTTTAAGAAGATCTTGTGTTGCAGTTAATACATTAAAATATTTCAGCATGAATGCTCGGTCTTTTGGATCTTCAGTTCTAACATGTATGTCCTACAATGAAATGTTCTGAATTTGAACCTTAATTCTGAGCTGAGCTGATACTTCTTAAGCATAGCTGTAGGCTCCTTGCACTCTAGTCCCTGGGCTGAAAACTGTCAGATTTTTAACTGAATCTGCACAAAAGCAGTAGGTCAGTTTAGAATCAGATATAAAACAGTCAGTGTAAGCTCTCTGAAGTAATTTTATTTCTCGTCTTCTTGGGACTTGTCTGTGGATTCCAGTAAATACTATTGCATGCTCTATTTACAGTTGTTCATAACCACAGATGACTATACCTTGGTTTAGTTTTATTCATAAATTACCATAATTCTAACCAAGCAACAGAATAAGCAAGGAACAAAGTAAGCACAGGATTAATCTGACTACATGCACATGCCTTCAGTAATATTCTTACATTACGTTATTGTGAAAGATTGTAAGCATGAAAATTGGAAAATTTGATATTTAGTGGCTCTGTGAATATGTAAGACAATGAGAGTGGGAGGAGACCACATTTTTTTCTGATGACCTGCAGAGAACATTTATATCAAATAAACATTTAGGAGATAAATGTGAATGGAATTTCTGCTTCAATGCAGTATCATGGAACTAATTTTAAAATTTTCGTTTTTGATATGTCAATATGACAATGACAGAAAATGAGGAATAACTACAGTCTCATTACTTTTATATTAGAGAGATCAATGCAAATATGAAAGACGTGGGTTTTTTTCCACAGGCGTGGTAGGTAATTTAGCTGTCTAATGCTGGTACTGCTTTTCCTGAAAACGTTGGAGAGAAAACTGTTTGTTTGTTCTTTCTTTCAGATGTTAAATATTTAAAAGAAGAAGATGCAAACCGCAAAACATTCACAGTCAGCAGCACGCTGGATTTCTTAGCAGATCGCAATGATGATGGTGCAGTTGTAAGTTGCAGAGTAGATCATGAGTCCCTAAACTCTACACCTCAGATAGCAATGCAGGTTCTAGAAATACACTGTAAGTAATACACGTTATAAATGCTTGCTTTTATGGTTCTGTTTTGTTTCAGGGTTTCTGCAGGGGGAAATTCTCTGGTATTGTGCGGATAGATAACATCTTTCTTTTAGCCAGATTCTGTGGATTGTGTTTGGTTGGTTGGTTTGGGGATTTTCTTTTGTTTTTACAGGAGTTACTCTAAAAAGTTTAATGAAAGCTTTACCAGTGAAATCACTGTGGGACTAAGTTCTTGGTTTGCTTTGAGAAATACTAGAGAGAAAATGCATTTGTCGGTTTTGTTTATCATTGAAGCAATGTGAAAATGTTATTAAACATCAAGAACATCCTAGTGCCCAGTTTTCCTTGAAAGAATCTAGAAACTTGAAACAAGGGTATAGATAAGCAAAGTTTGCAGCAGATTGCCTCAATAATGTTGAATTCTGCCAATGAAACTCTGTAATGTTGTTAATAACACAAGTCCAGGAGGAAGGGCCCTTTTGAATTTATATTTGTGCTTGGTCTGCACAGGATGTTAGTCTAGATAATCCAAACTTCAGTTGTTTTGTATCTTTATATACTGGCTTTTTTTTTTTTTTTTCCCAAATAGCATTTCTGACATGATGTTTTCCACAGTGTATTGTTTCAAAGTTGAATGAACCTGCCTTTTTATCTATGTGCCCTACTCTGAAGTCATGTTGTCCTTCGAGTCACTGTTTCTTTTCACTTATAAACTGTGAGACCCTCAAGAGAACACCTTTTCACCATCAGTTGACATTTTCCTATGCACTTGCATGATATCCACCATTCTTCAGGGTACAGCTATGTGGATTTTCTGCACCTGTACATCTCACTACCAGCTGGCAAAACCAGACACCTGCAAAATAATGTCAGAACAGGGGAAGGGACAAGACCTTTCATGAATCTGTTTCTAGGGTAGGTGTAATCAAGCTGTTAGAAAGCAGACAGGGTTGTCCACAAAGCAGACAAGCATTCAGTAACTGCAACGAGTTCCCAAGATACCATGTCAAGGACTGCTGGCATATGTAACTTGTTTCCAAACAGGGATATTTCTATAAGCATTTTAAGGCTTGTACCACGTGTGAAATGCAGTAACAGCAAAAGCCCTCGATGCATGGAAGCCGACAATTTTACTAAAAATGCCATCTGCAAAAAAAGTCTGAAAATGAAGAATATGTGGATTAGCATGTGTGCTAAAATTTTAGCATACATGATGCCCATTTTACTGAGGGAGGTCAGAGCCTTTCTTCACCAAATGAGTATTAAACTCCTTCCTTAATGTGTTCAAATGCCTCTGTGCTTTACTTCCTTGAATTCTAACTTGCACAACCATCAGCCCCTGAACTTGCCCGTGCCTTCACTTCCAAATTCCTTGCTGCTCCTTCAGTGCCCTGCTCAAGGTGTTGGCACCACGGGAGATGAACCAAATTGAGTGGAACAGTAGATACAGAAATAGCACACAAGCTACACAAGGTTTAAACTTAGCTCCAGTGGCTGCAATGTAACGTGATTGATGGTAAAGGAAGGGTTCTGGTTTGCATGAGCATCATAAGGCAAAGAAGCCGTACATGAAGCTGCTTGAATGTTTGTTGTTTCCTTACAATTCACACCCTTGGTAGCAAGACACTTCCTTGCTAAATGGCTGTAAGGTGCATCTTCCTTTATGCCTGTTGCTTCATGCTTTGGACAAGACCCTTTTCTGTCTTCTCTGGGTTCACTGAAGTTCTCTAAAAAGGCCAAACTGCAATTTGAGTAATTAAAAGTACTCATGAGCTTCATATTACTGCCCACTCAGACTGCCAACTTATCAAAAGCCACAAATGCATAAGTGATTGTTCTCTATCATTCCTGCTTTCTCCATTAATTTTCCACCAAGCAATTTAATACTCTTCAGCACTTATGCAGAGTCATCATACATGGAAAAAGAAGTAAGAAATGTGCCAAAAGAAACTGAGTTTTAGAAGAGAGGGTGGAACTACCATTTAAAGCTATGGAGAAAGAAGTATTTTATTTGGTGACAAGGAGAGTAAGAACAGCCTGTTACTGTCCTTTTCTTTACCACCTACATCTCCATGGTTAACATACTCAGAAGTCTTAATGCTGGGCAAGTTTCAAAAGGAAGCTTTTTATAAAGAGAAGAAGATTCAGGGAACTGCTGATGTGCTTCATCAGAGGGCCTTGAATGAAAAAGAGGAGAAAAATTATTTACTACAGCAATCCCAAATACACTGAAAGGAGTATATTGGACTGGAACTGAGCCCTTTGATTTTATTCTGCTGGTGTTGCTCACCATCACTGTGGGTGTTACTGCAGCCACTGGAAGCTGCTGACTTTCTTCTGTCAATCCATAAGACTTCAAACATACAGGAGACATCCTGTTTGTATTAATGAGAAGGATGCTTACAGCACCCAGTGGAACCTGACCCAATATGTGCCCTCAATGCCACCTTGCAGCAGTTCAAAATAGTGCTGGCAAAAGAGGTGAATTATGGGACTTCATGGGAAAAGTGAGGAGAATTCGTTAATCTGTAGGCTCCAAAATTACAACCAAGTAGTGTGGCACTGCCACAAGTAGGGCATTTGTTCTGAATGTCCCAGAGATGTTTCAGATGAGCAGAGACCTATGGGAGAGTGATAATCAAGTACCTTAAAATGGCCAAGCAGAAAAGCACAGGTGAGCATCATTTTGGCAGAGAACAGATACGAGGTATCACCCACTAGAGCTGCACCTGATTTTTAAACCCCTTCTTAAAATCTGAAAAATTTTATTTCTGGTACATGGATGCCCCCTATGAATTATCAGTGTATCATCACCAGTTAAAAGAAAAAGGCAATAAGAACTTCTCTGGCCATTTCTGTCCTGCATAATTATGCTTGAAATTTGGAAAGTCTTCTTTGTTTCAAACAACTGGCCCCGACAATGGACAAAACATTTGTGGCTCCATCAAAACAAACAAACAAAAACCAAAGAATAGGAAAAAAATTGAACAGTGGGAATTACAGGACTGTGTTTGCATCCAGTGGATGATAGGTAGAGAAAAAGGAAAGCAAAATAATGGTTGGAATGACAGGTTTTTATTTATGCCTAGTGAAAGGTAGAATAAAATTAAATCTGTCTTAGATGTTGAGACTATATGAAACAGATATTTGTAATTAGTCCATGGAGAGATGTAGATAGAGGTACTTTTGAGTCCACACAGCTGCTTTTATCATCAGCTGTAGTAGGAAGTAAACTTAACAAAATGAAAGCCATCAGAAGCAATATTGATATGGAATATGCTTTATTCCCTCTTCTTCCTCTTACACAAATTTTAGTTTTTATTAAAGTGATACAGCAATCAAATCAGCTTTCCCCAGCAGGACTCCAGTACATGAAATGAAGCTGAGGACTAAACTTTTATTTTCTTTTATCATATGCTTATAATATGTAATAAAATGTTTTTGATAGAAATAGCATATAAGTCCTTCTGCTGCTCTTTTATTCTTAAAGTTCAGTCTGATATTTGATATTATCCATATTATTTATACCTTGCCTGAAAGAAGGATATCTTGAAGGAGAGTGTGATCAGTCCTTGTTTTCACAGGATTGGCCAGATTAATTTTGCAGACTTGAAATGTTAAAATAATAGGGATAAGCATAATGTGCCCCACTCCAGAGTATGGGATAATTAGCTCCTCCAAGCTTTTGATTTATTTGTTATTTATGTTGTGTCTCGCTTGTGCTTAATCTTGTTCGTGTGTATGTTGTGCTCCGTGAACTGCAGGGCAGCCCAATTGCCCAAGTCTTTCTGTTGTATGAAATGTTTGGTTGTAATTTAGTTTCTGCTTGGCCAGCAGAGGTTTGTGGTAGCATGACACTGCTTGCTGAGTTTATTTTTCCTCTGACCCTTACTGTCAATAGTAAACTTAAAATAGACTTGTATCCCCTCTGGTTTTGCTCTGAAGTCTGCCTGTCAGCCTAGCTGCCACTGATTGTTAGGAAGTTGTTTCTTGTAAGTGATAAATACAAATCTCAAAGGGATATTTAATTTCATTGTTTACTTCTGTGTTCAAACTAAACAAAGGCTGCTTTCTTTGCTCCTGTTTTAAAGAATCATGGGTGTAGTGCTTCAATTTTGAAAGCTTCTCAGTACAATATTTACTAGATTGTAAGTCCTCATGTACTCTCCTGAAAAGACATTTTGAGGGCATGTGCAGCTTCTGGTCCACATCTGGAAAGTAAGTGAATTCTTCTCATCCCTCCTCAGTGTCTCATACACATTTTGATTCCCAAAAGCAGCATTTTTACTTTCTTCCAGGTCTTATCTGAGCAGGTCAGCCAGCACGTTGCTTCGTACTGAAGAGAGTGCCGTAAAATTACCCAGTGGTAATTACCTTACCTTAGTGAAGATTCTCTGACTACAGCGAATTACCCAGCAGACCTCAGTAAAAATTAATTGTGTAAATCTACCCCAGAGGCTGCTTTTGAAGCTTTAAAGTGAAATCAAATCATTTGAACTTCAAACCTAATCATCGTGATCCTAAAATGGCAGCTGTGATGTGATCCGGGCTAATGGACTCAGTGAGATTTTGCTCAAAAGCTGACCACACTCCCAAATGACAGCACTAATAAGCTAAATATGTGTTATGTAAAGAAGTGTCTAGAGAGGCAATTTTGAGTAAATTCTATATTGGCAGACACAGATGTGCAGTGAATTGTTGGTCTGACAAGTCTATGGCTTTCTACAGGCTGTTCCAACATCTTTGTCTGAGAGGCGGTTTCTTCTTCTGTGGGTTGCTATTAGATTCTTTTGCAGTGAGCATCTGAACTTGACTTTAAAATTAGGCAGCTATTTCAAGAGAATGTTGGAATTACTGTCCTGGAAATAAACTTATTGATTTTGCATTAAGTAAACAAAGCACCCTGAGTGCTGCAGACCACAGATCAGCAGATCAGCTGTTCCCTTGTGCAGCCATGCAGAGCACGGGGTGGGTGTGTGTGTGTGTCTAACAACAGTGTGCTA